CCCCCCAGGCGCCAGAAGGTTGGGACCCTAATGGGTGATATTGCATAACTTTAGAAAATCTCATCCTCAGAGGAGATATACCATAATAAAATGGAATTAATGGATGGAACGATCCTTTAGAGCTTTAGCAAAAATGTAAAAAAAATACCACTGGGTCATCTGCTCTCCCTTTGGAAGGGCTGAAATTGTTCAATAGTTTTATGTAGATAATTAACCCTTTAGAGTGTAATTTGACCATTTTCAGCAGGATATAATTCAAACTTGGTTGGAATAATTAGATGGCAACAATATGGATGAGAAAATAAGATCTTTTCTCACCCCCTGGGGCCAAAAAAGGGAAATTGGCTTAAATTTCAAAAAACTTCACTTAGATGTACAAGAATCAACTTACTTTCATGAATGGAAATGCCCTTAGGTGCATTGTGTAAATTCTTAATTATATCACGCTATGGTCATCTGTCCTCCCTTAGAGATGAGATGCATTTGATTTATATTGGGAAATAACACTTGTCCCTTTTCAGCAAGAAATAATTTAAAATTGGTTGAAATAGTTATGAAATTGAAATCATAAAGATCCTGACCTACCCCAGGGGTTGGCCAGAGAGGAAAATTGGTTAAATGACAATAGGTGGGTGTTATATTTGTCAATAGCAAAATAATTCCTTTTAATAGTTTTAAAGTTCCTTTGTTGACATGACAAGTATTGTATTTCACATTGTTGACCTGCTGATTTACCCTTCATACCCTTGGGCCTCTCGTCTAGCATACTCCTATCTGATTGGCCTACGGTTTCCGCACAATAACTTTGTCAAATATGACCGGATTCTGATGACACTTTGTCAATATTACACTGACAATTAGGGAGACTTTGCAGTGATTAAGAAACAAAAGAAATATCTTTGGTTTAATTGGTAAAAGATGAATCAATTATTGGCAAAAGGAGGCAATTTCAATTTCTATTTTCATGCTTTTAAATATAGTCAAACGTGCTTGAGCGGTCACCTGAAATAAGCAGTCACCTCCCTTATGTGGTCAGTCTGTGGTCCGCCCGATAGAAAAATATATATATAATGAACCTGAAATAAGCAGCCACCTGTCTAATGCGGCCAGGGGTCACAAAACTCTGGCCCGGAGACGTTATCTCCACATGTATTCAGCTGTCATTTTGTCAAGAAGATCACAATATATAAACAAGAACACATTTAATAGAACAAAGCTAATTACAATGTGTAATTAAAAACCATAGGTAAGGTTTGACACGTTGAATTGACAAGTTGTTTACACAGCGATTTTCAGCTTGCAAATTGCGACAGGTCCTACCGACCAATAAACAATGTTTTACAAACAAAACAATTAATCCCACCTTGTGTTCTCAATCAGCTTGTGATTTTCAAAACAAGTATGATCTTTTGTGGTATCTGTACATACTGTATCCAAAGCTACTTGGGCTTAATATGTTATGTGATAAAAAAAAAAACTTGCCACTATATTGCATGCGGAAAACAGATCTGCTTCCGGTCTGCCAGTCACTATTCCTATATCATTATCATCATCATCATCATCATCATCATGTCAAAAGGATAAACACAGCGCAGACGCTGAATCAGATTTTTTTTCATTACTATGTCCTGATTTAGTTCTATAATAAACTTATTGGGTTTATAATAGCTATGCGAAATTAGGACATTATTGTTTAAACCGTTATGCTAAGTTGAAAGCTCAAATATTCTTGCAAAGTTTAAATGTATTGAGTGATTTATTTATAAGTGATGAAGTAACTAAATACTGATAGATCATTTCATTAGAAAATAATTTGAACTACATAGATCAATACATCGCAATGCAGATTTTTTTAATTTAAAATAGATCTACATGTAGATTTCAGTACTGGTAGTTGTCTGCTAACGAAAAAACGTATGTGGAACACGTGTGTAGCCAAACAAAAATAAATTCATCATTTCAAGAAATTATCAACAAAACGCCTTTGTATTTTATTGATTATGCATTTATATTCAAGTATGAAATCGTACCCCTGTTGACGAAGGAAGAAAAATTCAAAATAACATAGCAGGCTATATTGCCGGGAAAATGTTAGTATAACCCGTGGATGTATGAAAACTTGGTTGTGATTTTCGGGTGAGTCTGGTTTTAACAGCCACCTGTCTTAAGCGGTCAATTTCTGGCGGTCCCTTGGGTGGCCTCTGATTTCAGGTTTGATTGTACTCTGCAAAAACCAATATACAATTATGGACTCCAGGTGAGGTCTATCCCTGATTTACGAACCTGGTCTGAACAATATTCACAGAGACCGAAGGTCTATCCCTTATTTACGGACCTGGACTGAATAATATGCACAGAGGCCGAATGGCTCAATGCCGAGGTTAATATTGTTCAAACCAGGTCCGTAAATCAGGGACAGGCCGAAACTGAAGTCCACAATTGTTTTATTATATGAGATTTATCATTTTTATGTCGTAAACAAATGGATGGCATGGACCATTTTGGAATCACAGAGGTCTGTAACATATTTACAGACTCGTCACATGACGTCGCTTCTCCAATCAGGGCTGGGAATTAGCACCAGTCATATAATAATATACAATCAGGACTACAGGTGAGGTATATCCCTGATTTACGGACCTCGTCTGAACAATATTCACAGAGGCCGAAGGTCTATCCCTTATTTACGGGCCTGGACGGAACAATATTCACAGAGGCCGAAGGCCGAGGTGAATATTGTTCAGACCAGGTCCGTAAATCAGGGATAGACCGAAACTGAAGTCCACAATTGTTTTAATATATTATTATTTCCTTTATTTCCTCCAAAAACGAAGAGTTACAGAAATAACGAACAAAACACTATTGAAAAGAGAAGAAAATGCATTCACAATCATGGTCACACCCTGACATAGTGACTCACACATGCACATGGACAGACACACACATAAGAGAATAATAATAGTACACGCATCATACCATAAAGTACTATAAACACAACACAATGATATAATAGGTACTATTACAGTCATTATACGGTGATAATTATGATGATAGACAGTATAACACTAATCATATATTACATCACACATTGATATAATAGACATATTTACACTCCTCAGACTACATTATCATATAATAGTATAGACAGTAATCCACTTCTCGTACTAAGCAATCATACAACATTGTAATAAACAGTATTACAAGCATCACACTATAAATTATACAGCATTATTATAGACAGTATTACTGTTACATAAGTCTTACAATACAATCATACATTGAGTAGAACCCGTTGCACGAAGTCATACAACATAGTCATACAGTGGTGTGAAATACACAACATACAATATAATAATTAACTTGAAGAAACAGCGCAACCATACAATGATTTCAGTTGTAGTAATACATCTCACAAGATTAATTCATACAATACAAACAATATTATGAATGGTAGTAAGTTGCACTAATCAACAGGAAAGACGTAGGAAATGCTTGCCTACTAATATGAATACAAAAATATATGTATTTCATGTATTCATCTTGCTGAAGCGTGAGGTACACACAAGTAAATTAGTGATCATATTACTCAGTATACAACATTCAAATATCTAAGGATAAATTACATAATGCCACTGTATTGAAGAATTTTAGTAATAATAACAATGGATTTTATTCTAAAGTCCTCCAGTTCATATGGAGATAAGTCATAATTGAAAATACCACCAAGAAGAACATGAAGTAGATGGTAATTAGACATTACATTAAGATTAAACACAAAATCTATATCTTTTACAGTACTGAGTACACACCAGAGCTGGTCACGTAATAGCTCTGTGTGTGAGCATTCGAGTACACTATGCATAATAGTATCTTTGTACATAGATCCACAGTAATGACACAAATATATATTTTCATTATCGCGCATTTCAACACAAAGTTTAACAATTTTCTTAAAACATGGACTGTATTGTGGAAAGCGTAAAGCAAGTTTCCATATAGCATACGGTTGTATCTTATTATGTAAAAGAGTGAAGCGAGAGAAGTCCCTATCAGCGTTCATTCTTTCACATAAGTTAAACTGTTCATAGTTTTTTACATGGTCATTGACTAAACGCTTCCATTGACATTTGTTTGGAAATACACCACTCTTCAAAAATTCATCAATAAAATGATACAAATTGTATTTTTGTAAAACATTAACAATGTCGGGAACAAAACCTCTACTAAATTGAGACAGGTTGAATTCGAATAGACGCTTGATAAGAATTTCGCGTGTTAAACAGCCAACTTCCATGGAACATATTCTACCAAAAAATAACATTTTCTTTACGCTGATGTATACTTCTACAGAAAACCAACCAATCAAGGACGTGCACATATCTGTTCTTGTTCTTACATTAAAACCTTGGATTGATTTGACAATGAAGTTTTGTGCTTTTTCTAACATGTAAATTTCATTTTGCTTTAATTGCCACAATTCACACCCATACAGTGCTGAGGGATATACTTTACACTTTACAATTTTTGCAGTGGTTAAAGGATTCAGAGCACATGGATGTGCTCCAGAACGAATTAAGGAAATAACACCACTCTTTAATTTGGAACAAGCACGTTCTGTACGTTCGAAATTGTTATTTCTACTATTCAATAAAACTCCGACATGAGTAATACTATTTGCACAATCGACATCCTCAATATTCATATAGTTCAGAATTTGATGAAATAATTCATTTGTAGTTGAATTCAGTAGTGTGATTGGTAACAGAATTACAGACTGGCTGGGAAATTACCTAGGCCTATTTTTAGTAGCGGTTTGCAACACTTTTTTCTTTTTATAGGTCGAGGTCTGTAACATATTGACAGACTCGTCACATGACGTCGCTCCTCCAATCAGGGCTTGGAATTAGCACCAGTCATATAATAAACTGTAATGTTAACGTTACAGGCAAAATGCAGGGTTGACATGACGTTGGTGCATTGTTGACGTGACGTCATTCATTGTATTGTTTACATGACGTCATACACTTGTTATAAATATGGGATTTCCCCATGGGTAACCCTATGGTGAGACTAATATAAATCTTAGATGGGGATAAGACAGAAAGTGGGACAGTGGTAGGCCTATAACGGAAGTTCCGGTCAGGGAAAGATATATCTCTGTCTTACCCTAGGGTAATGACGTGGAGGGGGATTCCCCTGTCATAACAATTGTATGACGTCACGTTAACAATGCAATAACACTAAGTCGCCAATAGCAGATCAATTGGGAAGATAACTCCGATTTGCTGGAAATATTGAAATCAACCACCTGAGAAACCTACTCCTTAGGTTGGGATTTTTCTGTCTCTCCCCGAAGGTGGGAAAAGATTGTATCAATCCACACTTTGACGAGACTTTGATATTTAAGAATTTTACCCCGAGGGTTGAGATATTTAATAATAACACCATAACATCGTTGCTGTTTAATTAATGAGTTACTCATGGCATCAGTAAGTTGCTAAACAAACGGATAAGTTCAAATCAGTGCGACACCCAAGGCCACTAGCTATATAGTCTCGCGTTTTATAATTGTTGACTAATTCACTAGTATAGACAATGATATATCTGAAATGTCCACGCTGATTAACTCATGTAAGGGCGTGCATATTACCAACAGTGGTACATTTGCTAAGCTATCTGGTTAAAATGGTACAACTTAGGAGGCACATACGCGTCACCTTTAAATTTAATTTAAAATTATCATACTTGTAAGTACAGCATATCATCTCATTCTGGTACGTACAACTTATTACTACGTACACAATAGTATGCTGTGTGAAGATACTTTCTTGTACGTACACGATGGTAAGCTATAAGTACCACAATGA